TGATGCCCTTAACGGCCTTGCCACTCGGCTTCCGTTCGTTGGCGTAGGGGGGGGGGGACCTCACCTTCTTGCTGCGCCAAGGCTGCGGAGTAGCAGCCCGTGTTGTTGTACCTGCACGGCTGGTCCTCGAAGCAGCACAGGCCGGGGCAGCTGGAATCGTAGACGATGGGCAGGCCCGTGTTGATGCCCTTCACGGCCTTGCACTCGGCGTCGCTCGTGGGCGTCGTCCTCACGCTCAGTTGCTCATGCCGACTCACCTGCATCATCTGCGAGCTCTTCTGGAGCATGCCCGTGTCATCCTGCTCTCCCGCGGCGCACTGCTGCCCTACAGCGCAGGAAACTTGCGGGCCCGAAGCGTGCACGAGTGCCAGCAGCGAGGCCGAGGCGATGAGGAGCGCCATCGGCTGCAAACTGTAGTCTTTCTCGCTTCTCGCAAAACAAAGACAGGCGCACTTGAGCCAAAATGGCTATGGATGCTGCGCCGTGGACATCGGGCACAACTGACACCAAAAAAATGTCAAGCTACGCGCAAGCATGCTGACACAGCTGGCACAGCAGCATAGCTGACACAGCAACACAGCTGGCACAAACACAGCATGGACATTGGGCACAGCTGGCACAAACATGCTGACGCAGAAAAACTGTTAAACTATGCGCAGTCCTCCTGATAACTTGCAGGACGCGAAGCTCGACACTGCCTGAGCTGGCGCAACGCCTACCTTGATGGCCCCAATGGGTGGGGGCCAAATCAAAGACCCCCTACCTGCTGTTCGACGGTCTCCAAAATGGTTCCAAGAAGCCCCCCAGGGCCCCAAAGGGACCAAAAGGGCTCCAACAAGGCCCTTAAACCCTAAGCCCCAAATAATAGCTTCAAGAGACACCAAGATCCACCGAAAGAGTCCCGCGATTTAAGGGCTCTGCCCTCGTCCTCGTTGTCGTCTTCCTCCTTCTCGTCCTCGTCCTGGCCCTCGTCGTCTTCCTTGTCCCGTTCCTCCTCTTCCGCGTCGTCGCGGTCGTCGTTGTCGTTGTCGTCTTCCCCCTTTTTTTCACGCCACTGCGCGGGCCGCAGGGGTGGCCCGAAGAGACGCGCCAAGGCCATCCCATTGCCCCCAGAGATCTCTCTGCACACTCTGGTTGCCCGCTCTGTTTCACTACGCGTGTCTCTTCGCAAAATTCCCCGTCAACTCTCACGGGCGGGGTTTCCGCGTGGGCTGGCGGGGACGCGCGAAGCGCGAAGAATTTCAGATGTTCAGCCCCCGCACGCGCGCGGCCCGCCTCTTCCCCCTCGCCAAATCGTCGGAAGCGGAGCCGCGCGCGAGCGCCTTCAGTTCGCTTGGTGGGAACGCATTCCAGCTCCAATATCCAGTCGCGTCACCATTGATTCTCATGCCATGAAGAGGAGGGCGGGACTGGGGGGCGCTGACTCGCTCGGTCTGGCTGAGTTGGCTCTATTGCTCATGCTGCTCCTGCTATCACTCCTCCTCCTCCTCCTCCTCCTCCTCCTCTTCCTCCTCCTCCCCCTCCTCCCCCACTCCTGTGCCTCTTCCTCTACCTCCTTCTCCGCTGGGGTCGCGTCGCCGCTCGCGTCGCCAGCGCGCCCGGGCGCGCGCGCCATACGAAGACCCGTCCTCCATCGTTTGGAGCAAGACGAGCTGAGACAACGGCAGATCTCTCGCTCTGTCTGTCTGTCTGCCTGCCTGCCTGTTTGCGTCTGTCTCTGTTTCTGTCTCTGTCTCCGTCTCCGTCTCTGTCCCTGTCTCGTCTCTCTTTCTCTCTGTCTGTCTGCCTGTCTGTCTGTCTGCCTGTCGGTCTGTCTGTCTGTGTGTCTGTCTGTCTGTCTCTGTCTGTCTGTCTGTCTGTGTGTCTGTCTGCCTGTCTGTCTGTCTGCCTGTCTGTCTGTCTGTCTGTCTGTCTGTCTGTCTGTCTGTCTGTCCGTCTCTCTTTCTCTCTTTCTCGCTTTCTATGTGTTTCTCTCTCTCTCTCTCTCTCTGGGCACCTGTCGAGAGCCCCGAGAGGGGCTGCGCCAATCCCGCGTCTGCTGTCCCCGCCGCCCGCCCAGAGCCAGCTCTCTGCACCGAGGGGCTCCCGCCCAGGTCGAGCGCCGCGGTGAGCCAGCCGTCGCCAGCGCGGACGTCCTCAGTGAAGCCGCCGCCACACTTCTCCGCGATCGAGATCTGCTCTTCCCAGCGCCGGATCTTGAGGCGCTGCGGATGCTGCCCAGGGCATTCATCTCTCGCGGCCGCGTTCCGCGCCTGCCCCCGCCCCCACCGCTGCGCGCCGCGGCAGCGGGGAGAGCGGCGTGGCCCACCCAGCCGTCACAACACGAAGCGGCCGCTCCGCCCAAATGCACCCAGACATTCAGGTCCAGGAGTCGGAACGCGGGAGAAACATCAAGTACAAATACTGCTGCGCCGTGGACATTTGTTTTTTGATCAATCTGCACAGGCCTCGCTCTGAGCAGTCCCTCCTGTGACAAGACCACACGTGGGCAAAGCCGGCCACAGCACGAAGCGGCCGCTCCGCCCAAGTGCCCCCAGACATTCAGGTCCAGGAGTCGGAACGCAGGAGAAGCATTAAGTACACGTACTGCTGCGCCGTGGACATTGGGCACAGCCAGCATGCTTACACGAAACTGGAATCGCACGACACAAAATCGGCACTGCCGGAGCTGGCACAACGCACAATGCACTCACTCACTCACTCACCATACTCGGAGGCCTGGAAATGGGCACCAACACCAACACAGGGGGTTGCCTCCACAGGGGATGGGTGATCCTAGATTTCGGTGTTGGTGGTAATATCTCGGCCACCGTGGAAGCCAGAATATTACCACCGTCACCGAGATCGGGATCTTCTTCCCTCGATGGAGGCACACCGCCGATATTGGTGTTGGTGTCAACCTCTGGGCCTGCGACATACGCTTCTAGTGCGGCAGCACATCTTGGCCACCCACAATACACAACAGCTCTCCCCTCAGTAGCAGCCCGTGTTGTTGTACCTGCACGGCTGGTCCTCGAAGCAGCACAAGCCGGGGCAGCTGGAGTCGTAGACGATGGGCAGGCCCGTGTTGATGCCCTTCACGGCCTTGCACTCGGCGTCGTTCGTGGGCGTCGTCCTCACCTTCTGCTGCGCCAAGGCTGCGGAGTAGCAGCCCGTGTTGTTGTACCTGCACGGCTGGTCCTCGAAGCAGCACAGGCCGGGGCAGCTGGAGTCGTAGACGATGGGCAGGCCCGTGTTGATGCCCTTCACGGCCTTGCACTCGGCGTCGTTCGTGGGCGTCGTCCTCACCTTCTGCTGCGCCAAGGCTGCGGAGTAGCAGCCCGTGTTGTTGTACCTGCACGGCTGGTCCTCGAAGCAGCACAGGCCGGGGCAGCTGGAGTCGTAGACGATGGGCAGGCCCGTGTTGATGCCCTCACGGCCTTGCACTCGGCGTCGTTCGTGGGCGTCGTCCTCACCTTCTGCTGCGCCAAGGCTGCGGAGTAGCAGCCCGTGTTGTTGTCCTGCACGGCTGGTCCTCGAAGCAGCACAGGCCGAGGCAGCTGGAGTCGTGACGACCAGCACGGCCGTGTTGATGCCCTTCACAGGCCTTGCATCGGCGTCGTTCGTGGGCGTCGTCCTCACCTTTGATCTTGCGCCAAGGCTGCGGAGTAGCAGCCCGTGATGTTGTACCTGCACGGCTGGCCTCGAAGCAGCACAGCCGGGGCAGCTGGAGTCGATAGACGATGGGCAGGCCCGTGTTGATGCCCTTCACGGCCTTGCACTCGGTGTCGTTCGTGGGCGTCGTCCTCACCTTCTGCTGCGCCAAGGCTGCGGAGTAGCAGCCCGTGTTGTTGTACCTGCACGGCTGGTCCTCGAAGCAGCACAGACCGGGGCAGCTGGAGTCGTAGACGATGGGCAGGCCCGTGTTGATGCCCGGCACGGCCTTGCACTCGGCGTCGTTCGTGGGCGTCGTCCTCACCTTTTGCTGCGCCAAGGCTGCGGAGTAGCAGCCCGTGTTGTTGTACCTGCACGGCTGGTCCTCGAAGCAGCACAGGCCGGGGCAGCTGGAGTCGTAGACGATCGGCAGGCCCGTGTTGATGCCCTTCACGGCCTTGCACTCGGCGTCGTTCGTGGGCGTCGTCCTCACCTTCTGCTGCGCCAAGGCTGCGGAGTAGCAGCCCGTGTTGTTGTACCTGCACGGCTGTCCTCGAAGCAGCACAGGCCGGGGCAGCTGGAGTCGTAGACGATGGGCAGGCCCGTGTTGATGCCCTTCACGGCCTTGCACTCGGCGTCGTTCGTGGGCGTCGTCCTCACCTTCTGCTGCGCCAAGGCTGCGGAGTAGCAGCCCGTGTTGTTGTACCTGCACGGCTGGTCCTCGAAGCAGCACAGGCCGGGGCAGCTGGAGTCGTAGACGATGGGCAGGCCCGTGTTGATGCCCTTCACGGCCTTGCACTCGGCGTCGTTCGTGGGCGTCGTCCTCACCTTCTGCTGCGCCAAGGCTGCGGAGTAGCAGCCCGTGTTGTTGTACCTGCACGGCTGGTCCTCGAAGCAGCACAGGCCGGGGCAGCTGGAGTCGTAGACGATGGGCAGGCCCGTGTTGATGCCCTTCACGGCCTTGCACTCGGCGTCGTTCGTGGGCGTCGTCCTCACCTTCTGCTGCGCCAAGGCTGCGGAGTAGCAGCCCGTGTTGTTGTACCTGCACGGCTGGTCCTCGAAACAGCACAGGCCGGGGCAGCTGGAGTCGTAGACGATGGGCAGGCCCGTGTTGATGCCCTTCACGGCCTTGCACTCGGCGTCGTTCGTGGGCGTCGTCCTCACGCTCAGTTGCTCATGCCGATTCACCTGCATCATCTGCGAGCTCTTCTGGAGCATGCCCGTGTCATCCTGCTCTCCCGCGGCGCACTGCTGCCCTACAGCGCAGGAAACTTGCGGGCCCGCAGCGTGCACGAGTGCCAGCAGCGAGGCCGAAGCGATGAGGAGCGCCATCGGCTGCAAACTGTAGTCTTTCTCGCTTCTCGCAAAACAAAGACAGGCGCACTTGAGCCAAAATGGCTATGGATGCTGTGCCGTGGACATCGGGCACAACTGACACCAAAAAAATGTCAAGCTACGCGCAAGCATGCTGACACAGCTGGCACAGCAGCATAGCTGACACAGCAACACAGCTGGCACAAACACAGCATGGACATTGGGCACAGCTGGCACAAACATGCTGACGCAGAAAAACTGTTAAACTATGCGCAGTCCTCCTGATAACTTGCAGGACGCGAAGCTCGACACTGCCTGAGCTGGCGCAACGCCTACCTTGATGGCCCCAATGGGTGGGGGCCAAATCAAAGACCCCCTACCTGCTGTTCGACGGTCTCCAAAATGGTTCCAAGAAGCCCCCCAGGGCCCCAAAGGGACCAAAAGGGCTCCAACAAGGCCCTTAAACCCTAAACCCCAAATAATAGCTTCAAGAGACACCAAGATCCACCGAACGAGTCCCGCGATGTAAGGGCTCTGCCCTCGTCCTCGTTGTCGTCTTCCTCCTTCTCGTCCTCGTCCTGGCCCTCGTCGTCTTCCTTGTCCCGTTCCTCCTCTTCCGCGTCGTCGCGGTCGTCGTTGTCGTTGTAGTCTTCCCCCTTTTTTTCACGCCACTGCGCGGGCCGCAGGGGTGGCCCGAAGAGACGCGCCAAGGCCATCCAATTGCCCCCAGAGATCTCTCTGCACACTCTGGTTGCCCGCTCTGTTTCACTACGCGTGTCTCTTCGCAAAATTCCCCGTCAACTCTCACGGGCGGGGTTTCCGCGTGGGCTGGCGGGGACGCGCGAAGCGCGAAGAATTTCAGATGTTCCGCCCCCGCACGCGCGCGGCCCGCCTCTTCCCCCTCGCCAAATCGTCGGAAGCGGAGCCGCGCGCGAGGGCCTTCAGTTCGCTTGGTGGGACCGCATTCCAGCTCCAATATCCAGTCGCGTCACCATTGATTCTCATGCCATGAAGAGGAGGGCGGGACTGGGGGGCGCTGACTCGCTCGGTCTGGCTGAGTTGGCTCTATTGCTCATGCTGCTCCTGCTGTCACTCCTCCTCCTCCTCCTCCTCCTCCTCCTCCTCCTCCTCCTCCTCCTCCTCCTCCTCCCCCACTCCTGTCACTTGGGCCGAGGCGGCGGGGGAGAACGCGACGCAGTGGCGCGACCGGGAGACGACGGCGACGGCTATCAGAGAAACGGCGGCGGAGCGCCGACGCAAAGTTCCCGCTGCGCGGAAAGAAAACTGCAAGCAGACGGGGGCCAATCAAAATCGAACTCGATATCATATATGGCTTCGGCGACGGAAGCTCCGACGAGAGAAGAATCTGGAACTCTTCGAGGCGGGCGCACACGCGGGCAGGGCGCCCAAATCTTCGCCGGCCACGAACCAGCCCTGCTCTTGCACCCACGCCGACCCCATGCGGTCCATACCTGAGGCCAGAATGAAATCGATCGGCGCCCCTCCTGGGCGGTCCTAGTTGCGGGGCGCGAAAAGCTCGGGCTCCTCCTGCGCCCCCATCCAAGCATGTGTTGCGATCGTGCCCGTCTGGGCCGTAAGCGCCTGCGCCGCCTGCGCCCTGGCATGAACCCTCGCCGTCAAAACGGCCGCGGGCATCTGCTCCCCGACGTGGCGGCCTTCGATTGTGCCTTTGAGCTTGGAGTCGAAGTCCCCCCGCAGATCACCTGATGCTCGGGTGAAGCTCCAAAATCTCAATATCCTTGAAGACCTCGCTGAACTTCTGGAGTTCGTCTCTCTTGAGGGAGGTGAGCTGAGATGACGACCCCTGCCCCCTTGAACTCCACCGCGACCCAACGACCTCCCCCTCCCAATGTCCGCGCATCCCCAGCCATCCGCCGGTGGACCACGACAGCTGGGCACTGGAGTCCCCCACGCAGTACCGGCTGGGCGCAGAGCGCGCGCGCTCCCGCGTCGACGCCCGCCAGCTTCGCGATGCTCTCCCGCAGCAGGAGAACGTCCCAATGATCGAGCGAAGCGCGCTGCAACCACGGCTCGATCTCCGCCCCCACTGGCCCCGTCGACGATGTGACCGTTGATGCTTGGGCTGGCGACCGCCCCACTCGACCGTCATTGCGACTGTTGCGCGTTGCCAGCGGCGGATTTCTTTCCCTTCTCCCCGTAGGTCGAGGCCGGCTTCTCGATCTTCTGCCGCTTGGTATCGGTGTCGATAGCAAAGGTGTCCGCGGACATCTCCGGGTCCGTGTCGGCTGCGCGCTTGCTCGCTCTGCCCCTCTGGATGTCCAGCTCCTGGCGCCCCACTTGCCGCGGCTCGGTGGCGGCCTCCATGGTGGTGCCGTCATCGTCCACCTGCATGTCCTTCTGCCCTGGCTCCTCCGCCTCGCCGCCAGCGATGACGCGACGAAGCGCGGCGACCCCGTTGATCGCACCTGCGACTGCCGCGAGTCCGAGCCCGCGGCGGCGAGCGCCCCCTGCAGGATCGTGACCTTGGCCGCCGCCCGCTTGCGGGAAGTCGCCCGGCGCCGCGGCATCCTGCTGCCCCTGCGCGCTCTGGCCCTGATCTGCGCCGCCGCGGCAAGTCTGGCGGCCAATCTGATTGCCCGCGCAGCAATGCGAGCGCTTTCTTATTCGGCGCTTCGGCATCGGGTGGAGTGGCGGGGGAGGGGGGGGTCTGGATCTGGGCCTCAGATTAGCGCGACTGTTCGGCGGCACTGGGCCTGGATGTCGGCGGCCCGCCCGCCTGGCACAGGCGAGCTCGCCGCGGGAGGGCAGTCGCGCGGCGCGAGCTTTGGCTCGACGCGGCGCGGAGGCTGCTCAGGCGGCACCGCGGCGAGCACGCGGCGAACGGGTCGCCTGCAGCTAGAGGTGACGCAGACGGAGGCGCGCGCGCAGCGCCCTGGCGCCAGCCGCAGGAGACGCCAGCAGGGCCGCGGGCATGTTTCGCCACCGAGGCGCGCGGCTTCAATAACAACTTCCCCACGCGGACGACCTTCTTCAAATGTGGGCGCGCCGAGGGCGCGAGGCGGCCTCGGAACAGGGCGCCGTCGAGCGGCCCGCGTGGCCGTAGCGCCCGCCCTGTGCGCGACAGGGCTGGCGAGGCCGCCGCCCAGGCCACTCAGCCCTCAGAGGTCGGGCGCTGCAGGAGGGCGGTGCAATCTCCTCGTCGCCTCCACTGCGACGACCCCCACGAGCTCGCGCGAGCGGCCGCGAAGGAGCTCAGTCGGGCCGAGCAGCGAGTGCGAGGGGCCATGGGGCCTGAGGACATCCTGCGCAGCGCGTCCGACAGGCATGCATCAAAGAAGGTAGAGCAAGAGAAGCTGGCGCAGCATATCAACAATCTCCAACAGCAGCTGGCAGAAGCCAGGGCCAATCACGAGACCATCGGCGCTCAACGCGGAGGCGGCGAGGGCAAAGGCCACCATGGCCAGCGCAGCACCCGCAGACCACACCCAGACCATGGCGGCGGCAGCGCAAGGGCTCCAGCATGGCGGCGCAGCAGTCCGTGGACGAAGGTTAGTCGAGGCAGCTCGTCGGGGGCCAGCTCCTGCAGGCCCTGGTGGCCAACATCCAGCAGCTGGGGCCCCTCCTCGGACCGTCAGCGGCGGGTGCACAGGGCTGGAGCACAGGAGAAGTCGTCCGCCCGCCAGCGCCAGCAGCTGAAACCACAGCAACCCAACAGACGGCAGCACCAGCCTCCAACGGCGCAGCCTCAGCCGCAACCGCCGTGGAAACCGAGGGTGCCGAGGCCCGGGGGCACGATTTTTAGCAGACGGCGCGCTCCCATGGGGTGCGCGCAGACACGGTGTGGGCGCGATTACCTTCAATGGGTCGTGCTGGGGTACGCTCTAGCAGTTTTTTGTTTGAAGGTGTGGGGGGCGCTCAGATAGCGCGTGCGCAGGGGCTGAAGCTAGACGGCGAGGCCATCGACAGAGCACAGAAGTGGGCTGCGCAACGCGGGTGGCAACCATTCATATCTACATGCAGAAGGCTGCAGTCCAAGCTGTCGTCAGCAGGAGTGGCAATTTTCGTGAAGGCACACACCTCAGTCACCAAGCTTACGGGCTGCCAGATGACGAACAATTTTGACATCTCGCCGGCCTGGTCACTGGCCTTGCATGTGCGCACGGGGCTGCCATGCGGTTTCGTCGCCAGATCGGTGTGCATGGAGTCGGTTGGCGCGACGGACTCCCTTTCCATCAACTGCGGCAGGTTCAGGCGGCTGGCCACCTGCCTCAGGCACTTCGGGGGCGCAGTTCGTGTCAGGGGGCGACTGGGATGCGGCCCCCGAGGAGCTCGACATCATAAGGTTCATGGACATCACGCAGGCGGCCATCGTCACTCCACAGCGGTGCGAGGGCACGAGCAGGAGTGCACAGGGGCGCTGCAACATGATTGACTACATCATGGTACCCGCCGACCTGGTCCAGGCGTGCGAGAGGCCCCGAATTCTCGAGAACTGGACGCTGCGACCTCATCATCCAGTTCCGTTTGGCTTCGCGGCGCAGCCCAGGCGCCGCGAGCAGCTCACGTGGGCGGCGCCCAAGGCTTTCCCGCGGGCGCACCCTGCCGTCGCAGGCTGCTCAGGCTGCCACCCGCTCGAGGGTCCACAAGCTGGTCGAGGGCATCTAGATCGCATCCGGAATGATGCCCAACACGGCATGCCAGAAGACAGCGCGGAGGCGCAGGTGAGGATTGACAGCCTGTACAAAGACATGCTGTACTTCGTGGAGCAGGACCTCTGCCCCATCTACCAAGTGACCCAGCCAGTGCGCCACTGTGGGCGCGGCCAGGGCCCACGCTACGCCCGGCGGCCCATCGGAGGCCCAGCCCGAGGCGGCCACCTCGCAGCTGGGGCCGAACCCAGGCCCAGGCACTCGAGGCTCGTCACAGCGGCGAGCAAGGACCTCCTCGGGCAAGCAGGGGCTCGCCAACAGCCTCAGACGAGATGGGCGAGGATCGGGCGCGCCCTCAGGCCAGGCCACACCCAGGACGTCCACGCTGACAAAGGTAAGACCCTCATCAGCTGGGCATGGATCGCGACGCACAAGGCCTTCGCGTGCTCGGACGACGTGGCGGGCGCGATCGCGCAGGCGCACGCCGACCTTCTCCGGGCAGCACGCGGCCCACCTCGAGGGCGTCGCGGCCAGGGAGCGCATCCAGACCTTTCAGAAGTGGGCCAAGGACGCGCTAGTGTCATGACCACCACCTCTGTTCGCCATGACGGGGCTGAAGGGGTGGGCGCACCAAGAGACCAACAGGTTTGGCATCAAGACGTCGCTCCCTCAGGCCATAGCTGATGCGCAGGTGGACTACTGAAATGGAATCTGGGATGGCACCTCTACCACCTCCATGGCCACAAAGAGGGAGGTCTTTGGTGCAACACGTGCGAGCTTGACAAGGTCTCGTACCGCGTCGACAGGCGCACTCTCTGGTCATGTGAAGGCTGCGGGCCCCAAGCGGGGGCGCGTCGTCTGGGAGACTCGGGCGGCGGGCCCCTTCTCTGCCCACGCAGCGCCAGGAAAGACCCTGCGGCGGGGTCGCGCTGGAGGAACAGCAGAGAACGCCACGTGCAGGCGATGATCCACGTGCTGGCCTGGTACAGGGTCGCCATTGGGCTGAATATACAAATGGAACGCAAACCCCTGCCGCTCCACGCTGGGGCAGGGCCCGGTCGCCTGACGTTTTGCTGCCAAGGCCCCAGCCTGAAGCACCGCATGGGAAAACCCCAAACGCAAGTCCCTGCCCCTCCCCGTCGGGGCGGGGCTCGGTCGCCTAACGTTTTGCCGCGCGGGCCCAACCTGGAGCGCCTCGAGCTGGGGAGTCTGGCCACCGAGGGCGATGCGGGGAGGAGGCGGTCGAGCTTTCCGTGGGCCCCCCGCGCGCCGCGAGCCCTGGTCTCGGGGTTGCCGCTGGCGCGCGGTGAGGGAAGCGTGCCGCTACCGGATGGGGCAGCGTGGGCGGGGCTCGACACCGTCGAGGGGCGGCGCGTTGGACGGGGCAGGGAGCGGGGGGGGCAGCTCTGCGAGCACCGCGGGGCCCTGCGCCCGAGCCAGGGGCGCCCGCGCGGCCGCCCCACGCGGAGGAACAGCAGACAGCGACGGCGACATGGGCTCGGTGACGGGCGCGGACGACTGCGTGTACAGCGACAATGATCAGGAGTTCAAGGTCGACCACCTGATCGATCTGGACACCGACGCGGCCGACTTCTCGCGCAGCCTCCCGCGCGAGACCCTCGAGGTACCCCAGGTGTGGGACCTCGGGAGAGCAGCCGCCCCAATCCCTTTGCGAACTGGCACTGGCGCTGACGGGCTCTCGCCAAGGGCTTCTTCTCCACTATCGGACGACGCGCCCGCGCTGGTGATCTACGCAATGCGGGCAGCGGGGGCCTGGTCATGCGCGGCATGCTGCCGGGCAAGCCTACATGGGGCTTCGGGGCCATCGCCCTCCTGCCCGCCCCCTACAAGCTCTACGCGAAGGCGCGAGTCGCGCTCGTCAGGAGGCGGCCGGCAGCGCGCGCGCGCCCGTTCTTCGCGCTCGTCCAAGGCAAGTCCACAGTGGACATCGCGGCTCGCGCCGCGGTGCACGCGGGGGCGGTGGACAAGCAAGGGGCGACGTCGTCGTGACCGCGCTGATCAACATCAGCAAGTGCTTTGACATGGTCGACTAGATGGGGATCAGGATGGCAGCGAGGACGCACGGGTTCCCAGTGGCCATTCTGAAGATGGCGTTGAGCATGTACTATGCGCCTAGACGAGTGCGATAGGGCAGCACCTACTCCTACGCGGTCAAGGTGGAGCTGGGGGCCCTCCCAGGGTGCACGGCAGCGATGTACTTGTTGCAGCTGGTGGTGTTCACGCCGTTCGATGTGTTTGCGGCCTCCACCTCCCGCGTGCACAGGTCCATTGACGTCTACGCGGACGACGTCGCGGCGCAGGTGATAGAGCACATCAAGACCGTCGTAGCCACGACGACCGCTTTGCTCAACAGGCTCGCCGTAGTGCTCCAATCGCTCAAGCTACCCACAGCTAAGGGCGAAGGGAAGGTGCTCAGCTCCGGCAACGAGGTGGCCAGGAAGGTGGTGGAGCAGACGCATTCCTATGGCGTTCGAGCAGCTACGTCCTTGAACGTCCTGGGCATGGAGACGCGCGCGGGCAAGCCCACCTCCTTCTCCTGCGCGCGCGAGGACGTCAAGAAGCGCATCCCTCGCATCCGCAGGGCGCGGGTAAACCTCAAGATAGCGCGCGGGACAAAGGGCGCTAAACTTGGGACATGCCACGCAGCACGGCTTGCAGGTGGCGAGCGCGCCCCCGTCCAATATGGCAGCCATGACAGGGCTCACGAGGGCGGGCCGGGGCAAGACGCCATCAGCTACATCGACGCGGCTTGCGTCTCAGCTCGAGCAGACACCGCGCCAGCTCCCCGAATGCATCGCCGCGGTCGAGCCCATCTACACGTGGCCCCAGCTCGTCATGGGCGGCGGCGTCAGTCGCGAGATCCTGGCCAGGGCGCGGGAGAAGCGGGAGCGCCTCATAGGGGGGGGGGGGGGGGGGGGCAGGGGGCCGTGGAAGATCTTTCCTGGCCCTGCCAGCGCAGTGATCACGTGCCTCAAGAAGCTCAAGTGGAGGCACTCAGGCTTCGCGACGTGGGCCGCCGGGGACGGGCATCGAGCTGGACCTCGCGTCGCTCGCGCCCAGCTGGATTCGCAAGGTGGCGAAAAATGGCTCTCATCAGCGCGAAGTGGGAAGAATGGTTGAGGCGAGCGGAGGCGGCGCCTGAGGCGGCGGCGCCGTCGTGCGAACCCCGCGGCTACTGGCTCGAGCCGCTGCGCATGATGCTCAACGCGCCGCAGACGGCCAGGCGCTGGCGGTTGGACTTGCGAGCGACAAGCGCCCTGACCTCCACCGTCATCGGCGGCCAGCGGTCGCAGCAACGCTTGGCCAAACACAAGTCCTCGGACATGGACTACTGCAAGATCTGCGGCGCAGGCTGGGACGGCACGCTCCACCATCGCTTCTGGCAGCGCCCCAGCAAGCGCTGCGCGCGCGAGGGGGCGGTCGAGGCCGACGCCATCAGGAAGGCCAGGAAGAGCAACTCCAACGACCCCTTCTTCACGCGTGCGCTCATGACTAGAGCGCGCATGCCCCGGGCGCCGCCGCCCATCATGCGCGAGGAATGGCACTGCGACAATGGGAAAACGGCCTTGTCATCACGGGCGCGGCGTCCACGGACGGGTCGGGGCGCTCGCCGATAGGATGGCCAGAGGCGAATCGGGCAGGATGGTTCTGCAGTTATGGAGCGACATCGATGCGAAGGCCTGGCCTACGGGCCGCTCCCAGGCTTCGAGCAGTCAGTGCCTCGAGCCGAGCTGGGCGCCACCGTCCACGTGCTGAGACACGCCGCGCCGCCCGTGGCCATCAAAACGGATTGTCTCAACGTGGTGGAGGCCATGCACAGGGGCCCAACGTGGTGCTTGCATCTGGTGCATGACCAAGGTGGGATCTCGGAAGACCACGGCATCTCGTGGGTCAAGGCGCCCCAGTCGGAGTTGATCACGGCGGATCGGCTGGACAAATGTGGGCAACGAGCACCGAGTTGCTCCAGGAGCTCCGCTAGGTGGTGGCGTCGACCGCCAACTCCCAGTCGATGCAGGACGAGGCGGCCTCCGACAGGATCGAGACGGTCGGCCGCAAGCCGAGGCGTGCGGGAGGCGGCGTTCGCCCCGAGAGAGTGAACGAAAAGCGAGCTCACCCTGAGATAGCGCTTGGCGCTGTGCCGCACGCCCCCATCGTGCACAAACTAGGCTGGAAGTGCGCCAGATGCCCTAGGTTTGCCAGGCCCTGGGTGGGAAGGAAGCGGATGGGTGCCGAGCCATGTTGTGTGCAGCCGTGCAGTGCCGACCCCCCCGCGGACCTTCGCTTTGACGCCCCAGGACCTGGCCCCAAGAGGATCCTCGAGAGAGCCTCAGGGAATGTCGAGAGCAGAACCGTTCGTAGGAGAGTCACTGGCAAGAGTGCTCCGCAAGGCCCCGCTCCCACCCCATCCTCCTCGTGTGAGCCTCCCTGCCGGCTCCCTCCTCCCCCCAGTGAAGCTCACGAGAACAGCGGCCCTCAGCAGGGCGCGCCGCTTGACCAGGCCACTGCGTGCCAGGACCAGGGCAAGCCTGGCCTCGACCCCGCTCCCCCCTGCTCGTCCTCGGTGGTGCTCCCTCCCTCGCTTCCCTCCACCCCCAGGGCGCCCATCGCCCGACCCGTCGGCGGAATTCGCGCGTAAGGTGCGTCCGCGTGTCTCCTTCGCGCCCGTCCTTGAGACCCCCTGGGCTCACGGAGACCCTTCGGACCGCGGTGGAGGTTGCCTCGAAGAAGCGCCGTCGGAGTTCACCCCCCCTGTCGGCAGGTGCCACGCTGTCCCTCCTGGGGAGCCGCTGCCACCTGAGGGGCCCGTCCCGCTCGCGAGTGCTCGTGGCCACCGATTGTACATTGCCAGTGATATCGTCGGTTGTGCTCTATGTGGGGCGTAGTCAGCTCGCCCGGACAGGTCGCAGCTGTACAATTACTGCGACCCTGACCTGTTGGTTGACAACCCACAGCGCAAATGGCGAAAGGATAATTTCATGTCAAGGGTCCACCCAAAAAGAGCCAAGGGTGGACCCCCCATTCCCGTGTCCAGAGAGCTCGTGGCCACTGATGAGGCCGCTTGCTGGCTAGGCCTCGTATCGCTAAACCAGCTTCGGTGTGAACTCGTTTGGCTTAGTCTTGTGTGCTCGTGGGCCGAGTAGGGCCTCGAGTGCTGCGTCGGCGATGTCGCATCCCCATCGCTAGACTACGCTATTTGTCTCGGCGTTGGCGTTGTCCTGTGTTACGTGATAGATTGTGCCACTACGCTGTTCCCATCTCTCTTTTAGTTCCCGAACCCGAACTCGGCGCGTCTTCCCATGTGTTCGCTGCTCATCCTTGCCCTCATCGTCTTCCTTGTCCTTTCCTCCTCTTCCTCGTCGTCGCTGTTTTCCTCTTCCTTCCCTCGCCCCCACGCGGCCCCAAGGACTGCCCTCTGTTCACTTGGTTGCCCGCTGTGTTTCAGTACATGTGTCTCACACGTCTATTTTCCGTCAACTCTCATAGGCAGGGTTTCCGAATGGGCTGAAGGGGATACGCGAAGCGTGAAGAATTATCCCAGTGCGACCCTACCTAGAAGTTGGAGCCCCTAGGAAACCAGCATTAGTTGCTATGCTATGCTATGCTATGCTATGCTATGCTATGCCATGCTATGCTGCGCTATGCTATGCTATGCTATGCTATGCTATGCTATGCTGCGCTATGTTGTGCTACGCTATGCTATGCTGTGCTCTGCTATGCTAAAGCTCAGCGAAGCTAAGATGAAAGTAAGCTAAGCTAAGATAAACCTGAGGAAAGATGACGCTAAGCTAAGACAAGATGTAATAAGCTAAGCTAAGATGAGATAAGCAACGCTAAGCTAAAGGGACGTACCTGGGGGAACCGCGGGGCGGATGCCGGGGGAACCGCCCGGGGCGGGGTCCCCTGCCCGGCCCTTTTAAGCACAGAGAGTAAGAACCCTTCTAGGCAGAGCCTAGGTAGGGAACAAGTTAAGCTAAGATGAGATAAGCAACGCTAAGCTAAGGAGACGTAGCTGGGGGAACCGCGGGGCGGATGCCGGGGGAACCGCCCGGGGCGGGTTCCACTGCCTGGCCCATTTAAGACAGAGGGTAAGAACCCTAATAGGCAGAGCCTAGGTAGAGAATAACACATTATCCCAGTGCGACCCTACCTAGGAGTTGGAGCCCCTAGGAAAGCAGCATTAGTAGTAACAGTAAAGCTAAGCTAAAGCTAAGCTAAAGCTAAGCTAAAGCTAAACTAAAGCTGAGCTAAAGCTAAGCTAAAGCTAAGCCAAAGCTAAGCTAAAGCTAAGCTAAAGCTAAGCTAAAGCTAAGCTAAAACTGAGCTAAAGCTAAGGTAAAGCTAAGCTACAGTTAAACTAAAGCTAAGCTAAAGTTAGGCTAAAGCTAAGCTAAAGCTAAGCTACAGCTAAGCTAAAGTTAAGCTAGAACTAAGCTAACGCTAAGCTAAAGCTAAGCTAAAGCTAAGCTAAAGCTAAGCTAAAGCTAAGCTAAAGCTAAGCTAAGGCTAAAGCTAAAGGTAAAGCTCCCAGGAACTGGGGGAACCGCGGGGCGGATGCCGGGGGAACCGCCCGGGGCGGGTTACACTGCCCGGCCCCTTTAAGCTTATAATGTAAGAACCCTTCTAGGCAGAGCCTAGGTAGGGAATGCTGTAATTATGCGAGTTGTTTGTAGATGCTGTGATGTGCTCTGCCACACTGCACTACGGTACGTAATGATCGGTCATGCTTTCTATGCGGAGCAACGTATGCTACGATACGCCATGCATTGCTATCCAATGCTGCACACTACTGAGATGTCATGACATGTTAAACGGTGTTGTGTTTCGCAGTAGCTTGCTTTAACAAGACGGACAATGTATGTCACCTCATTGGATATCATCCCGTTGTGTCGCGTTGCACATGTACGCCTCCGATAAGATACCCCTCGACTTGGGTCGCGACAGGGTCATCTTTTGACCAATCTGCAGATGCATTGATCTGACCAGGTCTTCCTGTGACAAGACCACACGTGGGCAAAGACGGTCACAACACGAAGCGGCCGCTCCGCCCAAGTGCCCCCAAACATTCAGGTCCAGGAGTCGGAACGCAGGAGAAGCATGAAGTACACATACTGCTGCGCCGTGGACATTGGGCACAGCCAGCATGCTTACACGAAACTGAAATCGCAGAATACAAGATCGGCACTGCCAGAGCTGGCACAACGCACAATGCACTCACTCACTCACTCACCATACTCGGAGGCCTGGAAATGGGCACCAACACCAACACAGGGGGTTGCCTCCACAGGGGGAAGATGATCCTAGATTTCGGTGTTGGTGGTAATATTTCGGCCACCTTGGTAGCAAGAATCTTACCACCATCAGCGAGATCGGGATCTTCTTCCCTCGATGGAGGCGCACCGCCGATATTGGTGTTGGTGTCAACCTCTAGGCCTGCGACATACGCTTTTAGTGCGGCAGCAAATCTTGGCCACCCATAATACACAACAACTCTCCCCTCAGTAGCAGCCCGTGTTGTTGTACCTGCACGGCTGGTCCTCGAAGCAGCACAGGCCGGGGCAGCTGGAGTCGTAGACGATGGGCAGGCCCGTGTTGATGCCCTTCACGGCCTTGCACTCGGCGTCGTTCGTGGGCGTCGTCCTCACCTTCTGCTGCGCCAAGGCTGCGTAGCAGCCCGTGTTGTTGTACCTGCACGGCTGGTCTTCGAAGCAGCACAGACCGGGGCAACTGGAGTCGTAGACGATGGGCAGGCCCGTGTTGATGCCCTTCACGGCCTTGCACTCGGCGTCGTTCGGGGCGTCCTCACCTTCTGCTGCGCCAAGGCTGCGGAGTAGCAGCCCGTGTTGTTGTACCTGCACGGCTGGTCCTCGAAGCAGCACAGGCCGGGGCAGCTGGAGTCGTAGACGATGGGCAGGCCCGTGTTGATGCCCTTCACGGCCTTGCACTCCGCGTCGTTCGTGGGCGTCGTCCTCACCTTCTGCTGCGCCAAGGCTGCGGAGTAGCAGCCCGTGTTGTTGTACCTGCACGGCTGGTCCTCGAAGCAGCACAGGCCGGGGCAGCTGGAGTCGTAGACGATGGGCAGGCCCGTGTTGATGCCCTTCACGGCCTTGCACTCGGCGTCGTTCGTGGGCGTCGTCCTCACCTTCTGCTGCGCCAAGGCTGCGGAGTAGCAGCCCGTGTTGTTGTACCTGCACGGCTGGTCCTCGAAGCAGCACAGGCCGGGGCAGCTGGAGTCGTAGACGATGGGCAGGCCCGTGTTGATGCCCTTCACGGCCTTGCACTCGGCGTCGTTCGTGGGCGTCGTCCTCACCTTCTGCTGCGCCAAGGCTGCGGAGTAGCAGCCCGTGTTGTTGTACCTGCACGGCTGGTCCTCGAAGCAGCACAGGCCGGGGCAGCTGGAGTCGTAGACGATGGGCAGGCCCGTGTTGATGCCCTTCACGGCCTTGCACTCGGCGTCGTTCGTGGGCGTCGTCCTCATCTCTGCTGCGCCAAGCGCGGAGTAGCAGCCGTGTTGTGTTGGATCGAAGCAGCACAGGCCAGGGCAGCTGGAGTCGTAGACGATGGGCAGGCCCGTGTTGATGTGGCCTTGCACTCGGCGTCGTTCGTGGGCGTCGTCCTCACCTTCTGCTGCGCCAAGGCTGCGGAGTAGCAGCCCGTGTTGTTGTACCTGCACGGCTGGTCCTCGAAGCAGCACAGGCCGGGGCAGCTGGAGTCGTAGACGATGGGCAGGCCCGTGTTGATGCCCTTCACGGCCTTGCACTCGGCGTCGTTCGTGGGCGTCGTCCTCACCTTCTGCTGCGCCAAGGCTGCGGAGTAGCAGCCCGTGTTGTTGTACCTGCACGGCTGGTCCTCGAAGCAGCACAGGCCGGGGCAGCTGGAGTCGTAGACGATGGGCAGGCCCGTGTTGATGCCCTTCACGGCCTTGCACTCGGCGTCGTTCGTGGGCGTCGTCCTCACCCTCTGCTGCGCCAAGGCTGCGGAGTAGCAGCCCGTGTTGTTGTACCTGCACGGCTGGTCCTCGAAGCAGCACAGGCCAGGGCAGCTGGAGTCGTAGACGATGGGCAGGCCCGTGTTGATGCCTTCACGGCCTTGCACTCGGCGTCGTTCGTGGGCGTCGTCCTCACCTTCTGCTGCGCCAAGGGCGCGGAGTAGCGCCCGTGTTGTTGCACCTGCACGTGGTTCGAAGCACACAGGCCGGGGCAGCTGGAGTCGTAGACGAGGGCAGGCCCGTGTTGATGTCGGTGCAACGTTCGGTGGGCGTCGTCCTCACCTTCTGCTGCGCCAAGGCTGCGGGTAGCAGCCCGTGTTGTTGTACCTGCACGGCTGGTCCTCGAAGCAGCACAGGCCGGGGCAGCTGGAGTCGTAGACGATGGGCAGGCCCGTGTTGATGCCCTTCACGGCCTTGCACTCGGGCTTCCGTGGGCGTCGTCCCTCACCTTCTGCTGCGCCAAGGCGCGGAGTAGCAGCCCGTGTTGTTGTACCGGCACGGCTGGTCCTCGAAGCAGCACAGGCCAGGGCGCTGGAGTCGTAGACGATGGGCAGGCCCGTTGTGATGCCCTTCACGGCCTTGCACTCGGCGTCGTTCGTGGGCGTCGTCCTCACCTCTGCTGCGCCAAGGCGCGGAATAGCAGCCCGTGTTGTGGTACCTGCACGGCTGGTCCACGAAGCAGCACAGGCCGGGGCAACTGGAGTCGTAGACGATGGGCAGGACCGTGTTGATGCCCTTCACGGCCTTGCACTCGGTGTCGTTCGTGGGCGTCGTCCTCACCTTCTGCTGCGCCAAGGCTGCGGAGTAGCAGCCCGTGTTGTTGTACCTGCACGGCTGGTCCTCGAAGCAGCACAGACCGGGGCAGCTGGAGTCGTAGACGATGGGCAGGCCCGTGTTGATGCCCTTCACGGCCTTGCACTCGGCGTCGTTCGTAGGCGTCGTCCTCACCTTCTGCTGCGCCAAGGCTGCGGAGTAGCAGCCCGTGTTGTTGTACCTGCACGGCTGGTCCTCGAAACAGCACAGGCCAGGGCAGCTGGAGTCGTAGACGATGGGCAGGCCCGTGTTGATGCCCTTCACGTCCTTGCACTCGGCGTCGTTCGTGGGCGTCGTCCTCACGCTCATTTGCTCATGCCGATTCAGCTGCATCATCTGCGAGCTCTTCTGGAGCATGCCCGTGTCATCCTGCTCTCCGGCGGCGCACTGCTGCCCTACAGCGCAGGAAGCTTGCGGGCCCGAAGCGTGCGCGAGTGCCAGCAGCGAGGCCGCAGCGATGAGGAGCGCCATCGGCTGCAAACTGTAGTCTTTCTCGCTTCTAACAAAACAAAGACAGGCGCACTTGAGCCAAAATGGCTATAGATGCTGCGCCGTGGACATTGTGCACAGCTGACACCAAACAAATGTCAAGCTACGCGGAAGCATGCTGACACAGCTGGCACAGCAGCATAGCTGACACAGCAACACAGCTGGCACAAACACAGCATGGACATTGGGCACAGCTGGCAGAAACATGCTGACGCAGAAAACATGTCAAACTACGCGCAGTCTTGATAAGTTGCAGGACGCGAAGCTCGACACTGCCTGAGCTGGCGCAACGCCTACCTTGATGGCCCCAATGGGTGGGGGCCAAATCAAAGACCCCCTACCTGCTGTTCGACGGTCTCCAAAATGGTTCCAAGAAGCCCCCCAGGGCCTCAAAGGGACCGAAAGGGCTCCAATAGGGCCCTCAAACCTTAAACCCCTAAGAGGAGCTTCAAGAGACACCAAGATCCACCGAAAGTTGTCGTCTTCCTCCTTCTCGTCCTCGTCCTGGCCCTCGTCGTCTTCCTTGTCCCGTTCCTCCTCTTCCGCGTCGTCGCGGTCGTCGTTGTCGTTGTCGTCTTCCCCCTGTTTTTCTCGCCACTGCGTGGGCCGCAAGGGTGGCCCGAAGAGACGCGCCAAAGCCATCCCATTGCCCCCAGAGATCTCTGTGCTTATTATGGTTACCCGCTCTGTTTCACTACGCGTGTCTCTTCGCATAATTACCGTCAACTCTCACGGGCGGGGTTTCCGCGTGGGCTGGCGGGGACGCGCGAAGCGCGAAGAATTTCAGATGTTCCGCCCCCGCCCGCGCGCGGCGCGCCCCTTCCCCCTCGCCATATCGTCGGAAGCGAAGCCGCGCGCGAGCGCCTTCAGTTCGCTTGGTGGGAACACATTCCAGCTCCAATATCCAGTCGCGTCACCATTGAATCTCATGCCATGAAAAAGCGGGCGGGAATGGGGAGCGCTGACTCGCTCGGTATGGCTGAGTTGACTCTATTGCTCATGCTGCTCCTGCTATCACTCCTCCTCCTCCTCCTCCTCCTCTTCCTCCTCCTCCTCTTCCTCCTCTTCCTCGTCCTCGTCCTCGTCCTCGTCCTCGTCCTCGTCCTCGTCCTCGTCCTCGTCCTCGTCCTCGTCCTCCTCCTCCTCCTCCTCGTCCTCGTCCTCGTCCTCGTCCTCCTCCTCCTCCTCCTCCTCTCCTCATCCTCTCCTCCTCCTCCTCGCCTCTCTCCCTCCTCTCCTACTCCCTCCACCTCCTCCTCTTCCTCCTCTTCCTCTTCCTCATACTCCTCCTCGGCCTCCCGGCCTCGTCTCGTCTCGTCCTGTCCTCGATCTCGTCCTCGTCTCCTCCTTCCTCCTCCTATCTCATCTTCGTCCCTCCTCCTCACTCCCTCCATCTCCTCCTCTTCCATTTCCTTCCTCCTCATCCTCTTCCTCCGCTCATCATCCCCCTCATCATCTCCTCTACTCCTCCTCCTCCTCCCCCTCCACAATTACACAATATGAAAATGCTCTCCCACTTCCCCTGATGGCGTCCCGAAGATGGCCGACCCCCCCCGCGTACTGTTTTTTTACACACAGGATTCCCGGGAAACGGGTTTTCGCCTGCGTTTTTTTCCAAAAAAACTGCTCTCGCTGAGGCGCCGGCCTCATTTCTGCTCCCGAATCGTTCCGAATCGTGCTCCCGCTGCAGCGTGGACCTCATTTTCGGATCGGTGTTTGGCCTCCGTCGTTCAGGATGGCGTTCTCGCCCCAGCGCGGGCCTCTTTCTCGCGCGCCCATCCGCCCGCCAACACCGCGCCGCACCACCACCACCACCACCACCACCACCACCACCACCACCACCACCACCACCATCACAACCACCACCAGCACCAGCACCACCAGCACCAGCACCAGCACCTGCACCAGCACCAAACACCACATTCCCGTGCCATTCCATGCCCCAGCACTACGCGCACACACGACACACACAATACTCACAACACACCCACCACACACCACCTCCTCACCACCACGACACCTACTCACCTCCACCCCACAACCACACCACCCCACAACCAGCTCCCATAAGCACCGCACCAAGCACCTAGCACAGTCACCACCACCACCACCACCACAACCACGCACACACGCACGCACGCACGCACGCGCACCACCACCACTACGCACGCGCGCGCGGAGCCACAGGTCCGCTACGACACGCGTCCGCGGATAGAGAAAATCAGCGCCATGGTAAGGGATGGGAGGGAGGGGTAGGGCGTCAGATATGACGCGAGCGCACCTTGCTTGTCCCCCTCCTCCTCCTCTCTCCCCATCTCCTCATCCTCCTCCTCCTTTTTCCTTCTCATCCTCACCACACCACCACACCTCCACCACCATCATCCTCATCCTCATCTCATCCTCATCATATCTCAGCCTATCCTCATCCTATCCTCATTCTCCTCATCATCCTCATCCTCATTCCTCATCCTCATCCTCATCCGCTCCTCATCCTCATGTTCATTCCTCATCTCATCCTCATCCTCATCATCATGATTCCATCATCTTCTTCATCATCATCATCATCTTCATCATATTCATCAACTCATCATCATCATTCAATCAATCATCATCAACAGCATCATCATCACAGCATATCCTCATCATATCATCATCATCATCATCATCATCATCTCTTCCTCTCTTATTCATCATCAATCATCATCATCATCATCATCATCATCCTTCGCCTCTTCCTCCTCCTCCGTCCCCTCCTCTTCTTCGTCCTCCTCGTCCTCCTCGTCCTCCTCGTCCTCCTCGTCCTCCTCCTCCTCCTCCTCCTCCTCCTCCTCCTCCTCCCCCAATCCTGTGCCTCCTCCTCCACCTCCTTCTCCGCTGGGGTCGCGTCGCTGCTCGCGTCGCCAGCGTGCCCGGGCGCGCGCGACATACGAAGACCCGTCCTCCATCGTTTGGAGCAAGACGAACTGAGACAACGGCAGCTCTCCTCTGTCTCCGCCCGCCTCCAACTCGACTTGCTCTTGCGCTCTCTCTCACTCTGTCTGTCTGTCTGTCTGTCTGCCTGTTTGCGTCTGTCTCTGTCTCTGTCTCTGTCTCCGTCTCCGTCTCTGTCTCTGTCTCGTCTCTCTCTCTCTGTCTGTCTGTCTGCCTGCCTGTCTGTCTGTCTGTCTGCCTGTCGGTATGTCTGTCTGTCTGTCTGTCTGTCTGTCTGTCTGTCTGTCTGTCTGTCTGTCTGTCTGTCTGTCTGTCTGTCTGTCTGTCTGTCTGTCTGTCCGTCTCTCTTTCTCTCTTTCTCGCTTCTTTTTTTGTCTGCCTCTCTCTCTCTCTGTCGGTACCTGTCGAGAGCCCCGAAAGGGGCTGCGCCAATCCCGCGTCTGCTGTCCCCGCCGCCCGCCCAGAGGCAGCTCTCTGCACCGAGGGGCTTCCAGCCCGCCCAAGTCGAGCGCCGCGGTGAGCCAGCACTCGCCAGCGCGGACGTCCTCAATGAAGCCGCCGCCACACTTCTCCGCGATCGAGATCTGCTCTTCCCAGCGCCGGATCTTGAGGCGCTGCGGATGCTGCCCAGAACATTCATCTCCCGCGGCCGCGTTCCGCGCCTGCCCCCGCCCCCACCGCTGCGCGCCGCGGCAGCGGGGAGAGTGGCGTGGCCCACCCAACCGTGGATTATTTGACGGCGCTGCTGCACGAGATTGGCGCGACGCCCATCGATCGCCCAGCGCCCCATCTAGAACCGCCACCACTGATCGATCGACTGCCGCGGCGCCCTGTGGAGCCTGAGCACCTTGGCCGCTCCCCTTGCGCCCCAACTCGCGACGCGATTCCCGCGGCTCTTGGGCGCCCGAAGTATCCGTTTGAGCCGGGCCCGGGGCAACTCGGGCATGAATTCCCGAAAAACTACCCGAGTGAGCCCTGGCCCAAGTAACCCCTGATGAGTTGGGGCTCTGGACGCCCGAATAAACTGGAGCAGCTCTGGCCCAGGGCACCTCGGGTTCGGGTTCCCGAAAAACGAAACTCGAGCTAGCCCTGGCCCGAGCTACCCCTGATGATTCGGGGCTCCGAGGCCCTGCGCTGGAGCCCGGGCGCTCGATCGAGCCCCAGAGGAACGTTGCCCAGACAATCCTCGGAAGCTGCCCCATGCGGCGAGATTTTGGGGCCCAGCTGAAAGTTGCAATTGACCCCCGCTCATGAAAAGCTTCGTTTGTTCGCGCCACTCGGCATGCGATTTCAAGACTGGACGTGCTCTTCCGGGCGAGCACCGCGCCCGCGAAGGCAAGGCTGCCCTCTCAATCACCTTCTCCATCATTTTCAGATACTAGCCGAGTCCGGGCCGGGCGCTGGCCTGGCGCGTCTACTCTGGACCTGCGCCGAGACCTGTCTCCTTGAGCTTGGCCACCACATCTGCGACCATCTCCCCCATGTACTCCATGGGCGCGGCCGCGCGCGCGACGTCGCCGGCGTGGCGGGCGCGGGAGATGCAGAACTCGCGCGCGTTGAAGCTCCTGCCCCGCGCCTTCCAGCGGAGCTCCAGCCCCCGGACCATCGCCTCCAAGATCGTCACAAAAATCTGCGGACGGACGTTGCAGCGCGCCTTGCAGGGGGCCCCTGCCCCCCTCTGTCTCGCCCGAGGCGATCTGTCCAAAATTGGCCCGCGCCGAACTCCGATTCCAGATCGCCACCATCAGCGCGATCTCGGAAAGCCCTACCACGGGCTACCCCCGGGAGTTTCGCGGCATTGAAGGCGGCGCGATGATCGACGTGGCTGGTGGCCTTCCTGAGGTTTAGCTGCGCAGTGATCTACGGTTGCCGCCGCTCCCTGGCCAGCTCTGCAGCCCAGCGCCCGCGCGGCTGCCGGGCGCGAGCGCCGCCTGCGCCGACATGCAGGTCAGGGCCGGCAGCGGCTGCGCCCGCGCGTAGCCAGGGAGCTCGCGCACCGCGCAAACCTGCGGCGGGTCTGAACTTCGCCGAGGTAGTTGCGCCAATCACCATGGGCGGCGCTGTCGCCATCGACATTGCCCCTTCCGCCGGGCATGCCAAGG